CATCAATTCGCAGTGTCTGCCACGAGCATGGGATTGAGCAGGAGCAATGGCAGTGCCTGTGTTTACTATTCCTCCCAGAGGACCCCTGAAACCTCAGATGTGGCTCTGCCCTTCCTTCCTGGGGCTACTGTAAAGAGCTGTTCACACAGCCTTTCAGGTGGGTGCAGGCATCTGCTAACTTCCTTTCTTTCACTTCTGCTTTTATCCAACAAAGTTATCAAGTTTAGTATCATCTCTGCTGCTCTTGCTATAAAAGGAAGCTCTTGGTCTTGTCCCCACACCCCACACCAGCTCCAATGGCAGTGATGTTCTTTCCTGGAGTGAGCGACACCCTTCTCCGCACAGGGAACTCTCTGGGTAGCAGAGAAGCAGCAGCAACCACTGCGATCTTGGTAGCCAGCCTCCTGGGCACTGATGCCCCTCCTGACTCCAACAGGAGAAGCTGCCAAATGCCATCTGCATGTCCATGACCCGGGCTCCTCCACGGGAAGTGCCTTGGATAATGTTTGTGTCACTGGGAACATTGTTTGTCTGATGGCTATTAAAGGGCCAGTGTGGACTCGGGGAGGCTCCCTCATGGCGCAGCACTGGGTGACTGAACAGGAACACTATTCTACTCCGCAACAGAGCCCGTCTCTGAGCCCAGAGCGAGGCTGGGTGAGCGAAGCACTCAGGAGGCCCTCGGCACCACAGCACCCAGCACTCCCCTGCCAAGTGCCCCTGGAACATGTTAACTCTCCCATGCCCGGTGACCAGCACAATGAATGCACTCTACGGCAGGAGCTCCCTTAAAGGCACAGCTCTAACCAGCTTCCCACCCAGCCAGGTCCCTGGGTCAGCTTTCCCTCCTTGATATACTTTCAGAAGCAGGTAGGAGGCAGGGGTTGTGAGGTGGAGTGGGCCCTTCATGTCATGAAAGAAAATGTCACCAACTTGCTGGGTGACCCTAGGTAACTCTCATCCTTTCCCCAGGCCTTTGTCTGCCCCTCTATAAAATAAGGAGGTCAGAGGTATCAAACTGACAGCATGCCTAGCTCCACTGCCCACCTCTACATCCAGGGCAGGCATCGACAATCAATCATGGCACCCTTTAGAATCTGCAACAGATAACTCCTTACAGCCAGTAGCAACTGCTTGGACTTGACCCACAAGTTAAAATATACTTGCCATCTGGAGATGAGAGGAGTTCAAAAGGTTCAACTCTAACACTGATTTTGTTTTTAAATGCCTTTCTTTCCTGGTGATGAGGCCAAGCCAGCTTCCTCTGAGCCTGACCCTTGTAAGAAATCCCCCATCCCCAGGCAAGAGAGCCTGCCTTCAAACACGCAAGATGAGCCGCCATGACAGCAGGGAGCACTCTACCACCACTTCTGCAGGGCTCCATGGTGGCAGCTCCACACATCACCTGTCACTGGGGCTTCTAAACCTTTTTCACAAGGGTCTGCCCAAAGCAGATTACTGAAAAGTTTCACAAGATACTCAAAGTCCCTGAATTCCAGGGAAGCAGTACTAGAAGGAACACCAAAGTCCAGACAGGTTTCCCAGTCTAGTTCTCAGATGAGAAAACTGAAGCCCACTTGGAACCCGTGTCTTCTAACACCTTATCCTGCGCCGACTTTCTTCCCCAACCCATCATTTCAATACATTGCACTGGTTTACTTCTTAGATGGGAAAAAGCAGAAACGATGACTATTCCTTCCTCTTGAAGAGGCACTGTACACTATTAATATTAGTACTACTAAGAGTAATAGCTTATTATTTACTACCTACAATATTGAGCACTTTGCATTCATTATCTCATTGAATATTCAGATAGCCTGACGATTTTGCAATTAATTGTAAGAACCGAGACAGACAGGGTCCAAGGTGGCACACCTATTAAGTCATGGAGCCTGGATTCACTCCCAGGCCAAGGATCCCAGCTCATTCTCCTCAGGCAACACTGCTTCCTTCCACTGCCACCTTGCATGGCCACACCCATGAGGTGGCCATGACAGGGACCACGCCTCATTTAACACAGGAGGACACTAAGGCACAGTGAGGCCAAGGACCCTGCTGCTGAGCAGCAGCTGAGCTGGAAACTAGCGTTGGTGGCTGGCATGAGGCTCACAGGCCCTGGGGCTCTCACTGTGCAAGCAGCTGGTCTAAGGAAGATTCCCAGCATTTCCCTGGCCTGGCTGCCCAAGGCTTTTCCCACTGAATCCAGACCGCTGACTCTATCCCAGGATTCAGATTCAACCACTCTTCACCGGGCATCTCCTGGTGAAGGGCAGAAACAGCTACTGGGTCTAATGAGTCTTAACACACACATACCACAGAGAGCAAGGGCAGGTCTTCTCCATTAACTAACAAATCCACCAGTGATTAAGATAGTCCCTGGCCTCGGGGAGTGAACACTGGTGGAGAAGCGTCAGCGCAGGCCCCTTAAAAGACTCATTCTCTCATTCAATACTCGCCTAAGTCACTCCTGCTCCTCCCCAAACATTCCTGGTTCACCCCTATTCCATCACTTGGGAGGATGGCATTTCCCAGCCTCTTTGAGGTTGGGTGGGGCTGTGTGACTAGTCCCGGCCAAGGACTGTGAGCAGAATTAACGCCTCTCTCTCTGGCTGCAGCAGTTAATTGCCAGAGTTAAGTCCCTCCACAGCATGCTTTCCCTCTGTCACTTGGCTGGCAGCATTCTACATGACAGCTTTTAATCTGGATCCAGAGGTGAGCAGAGCTCCCTCGTGACACCCAATGGACATGTAGTGTGAACAAGAAATCAAGTGCTGTGGTTTCGAGCCACCAAGATATCTTGAATGTTTCAGGATCTTTTGTTACTGCAGCATAACCTGGCCCCACCCTGAGAGTTGCAGCACCAACGTCAACATCACCACTCCCAGAAACCAATACTTTGTTTGGTATTGTGGAGTGTAGGCAGGGAGCATGGAGGCATAAATCTGGCAGGTCCTGGAGCCCCAATCTCTAGGGGTTTCCACTTTCATGGAAGAGACAGGCACAGACAGGGCCCCTTTAATCTAAAAAGAAAGCAGAAAGTACACCAACTGAGGAGCAGGGTAGAAATAGCCCACTCTCATCTTAAGAGATCAAGAAAGTCTTCCGGGCCAGGCACGGTGGCTCACACCTACATTCCCAGCACTTTGGGAGGCTGAGGCAGGTGGATAAGCTGAGGTCAGGCATTCGAGACCAGCCTGGCCAACATGGTGAAACCCCATCTCTACTAAAAATACAAAAATTAGCCAGGTGTGGTGGTGGGTGCCTGTAATCCCAGCTATTTGGGGGACTGAGGCAGGAGAATTGCTTGAACACAGGAGGCGGATGTTGCAGTGAGCTGAGATCACACCACTGTACTCTAGCCTGGGCAATAGAGTGAGACTCTGTCTCAAAAACAAAAAAGAAAGAAAGAAAGAAAAAGAAAGTCTTCGGAGAGGGGGTGGCAGTGGAGCTGGCCTTGAAGGACTGGTTGGATTTGAGCAAGTGGAAATGGGGAAGGCATTCCTGAAAGAGGCAACAGCATACACAGAATACAGGAAAAGCAGACTGTATGGAAAGACCAGAAGCAAGAAATGGGGCTGGAAGGTTCAGTTATGGAGCCTCTTAATGCTCTGGCCTCGACTCTGGAGACAGTAGGGAGTCTCAGGGTTATAAGAAGGGGAGCAGTATGGTTGGTGTTGTGTTTTGGCTAAGGCCTCCTGGCAGCCGAGCAGAGGGGAGGTAAGATGCAAAAGCATGGCTGTTAGCAGGATGCTGCCATGACCCAGGAGGGGCTGAGATGGTCACAAGCAGCAGGGAACAGCTGGGAAAGGGAGTTTGGGGATGATTCGCAGCAGTTGGGAAGAAAAGGCAACATGGTTTGAGTCTAAACTTGCAGAAACAAGGCCGTGTGTGCTGCATACAGGATGCACATCAGGAAGATGCAAGTAAGCCAGAGTTGGACCAGGAAGGCAGCAGAGGCTGGGGCGGCAGCAGCACTTCTGAGAACACGCTGAGCCTTGGAAGCATGGAGGAGGGTGTGGAAGAAAGCAAAAGTCTGGGGCCAGACCATTTTCTGGCCTCCATGCCAGGAACGAGGACTTTAGGTTGCAAACGTGTGCCCACAGGGACTCTGACCCACGGATATGTTTTGTTTGGCAGATTTCAAAAGGTCAGTTGGTTGCCAACATTGAAAGCCAAAAGAATTCCCGTCAAAATGTTCATTTCTGGTGTGCAGATTTGTCTAGCAATGTGGCAACGCTGAGCTGCGTCCCCACCCAGCAACCATCAGTGCAGCAGCTGAGCAGTGGCCGTCCTCCACACGCACAGCATGCGTTCTCTAACTGGACATGGCCCCCACCACCTGTCCTGTTGGCTCATCTCTATTTATGCTAAACAAACATATTTGTTGGGCCTCGTGGGCATTTGAGTCTATGAACCTGGCAGCAGTGCAGGGAGCCCCTGAGGGGTATTCCCTGGCTCATGCTAGAGACTGGAGCAGAGAAATCGTTGCTAAGATGTGTTTCCACAGAGGTGCTCTAGGCCTGGCCCAGGCCAGAAGAGGCAGAGGACGTGCCATCTGTCACTGATCCAATCCTGATGGGGTATCTGCTCTGAGCAGCACCAGCACTGGGATCTGCCTCCCTCCAGGAGGGAGAAAAGCAGAGAGGCATTTAGGATACCAAGCAGTAAGGGCTGTGCGGGACGCCCCAGGGCTGTGGGAGCCCTAAGACAGACATAGGGATTCACTGGGCCCCCAGAAGGTTCCAGACTTTGACTTAAACAGGGCACTGACGGATGGGTAGGGACCTGGTGTCCAGCAGGAAAAAAGGGCTCTCCAGCCAGGAACTACACAAGCAAAAGCAAGTCTAAGAAGCTGAGCACTCTCCCTGAAGGCAGAGGGAAGCCAGCAAAGGTTATTTCAGCCAGGGAAGGGGCAGAGGCGCCAGGCCCCTTCTCTCCAGGACTCTGACTCCACGTTCCCACCCTGGTCTCCGCCCTGACCACAGAAGCTGGACACTCACCAAGGGTCTGCTGGTTGCGGACACCGCCGATCACCACGCAGATCTCGGCAGGCACGTCGCTGGTCCCATCCTTGCCGACCGCCTTCTTCTCCTCCTTGGCCTCGCCCTGCCAGATCACCTCCTGGATGTAGTCGTCCGGCAGCTCCGTCTTCACCTTCACCTCCGTCATCGTTCCCTGCTCGGCACTCAGCGAGGCCTCGGCTGGCGCTGGCTCTGGGCCCTCCACCTTGGTGCTCTTCTGGCTGCGCTTCAAGCGCTCCCTGGGAAAGAAGAGAGTCCGTTCAATATCTTCTTCCTCCAGACCTACACAGGAGCCCATCAGCCCATGGCACCACAGGAACATGCAAGGCTGTGTGCATAACGAATGCTAGCCCCACCCCAACCCCCTTAGCTTTCCACAAGACCCCCATGGCTACCCTTGAGGGTCATCCAGGAAATCCTGAGGCTTTAAGGAGCACAATTTGAACACTATTGAGCAAGAAAGACTCCAACTCTGCCCATTTTACAGTTGGGGAAGCTGAGGTCTCAAGAGGTCTAGATGTGCCCAGCTGGCTTGCTTGCCACCGATTTGTTTGCACTGGAGTTACAAGTGACCTAAAAGGGCACCTCCAGCTGGTTAAAATCAGTTCTTCCTGGACTTCAGTGTGCCTACAGATCGACTGGGGATCTTGACAAAATGCAGATTCTAGCTCAGTTGTTCTGGGGTCGAGCCTGAGATTCTGCATTTCTTTTCCTTTTTAGAGACGGGTCTCACTATGTTGTGCAGGCAGAACATGAACAAGCTCCTGGGCTCAAGCGCCCCTCCCACCTCGGCCTCCTGAGTGGCTGGGACTTCAGGTACCATACCACCACGCCTCACCCAGAGATTCTGCATTTTGTTGTTGTTGTTGAGATGGAGTTTCACTGTCACCCAGGCTGGAGTGTAGTGGCTCGATCTTGGCTCACTGCAATCTCTGCCTCCTGGATTCAAGAGATTCTCCTGCCTCAGCCTCCCAAGTAACTGGGACTACACCATACCCAGCTAATTTTTTGTATTTTTAGTGGAGACGAGGTTTCACTGTGTTAGCCAGGATGGTCTCGATCTCCTGACCTTGTGATCTGCCCGCCTCGGCCTCCCAAAGTGCTGGGATTATAGGTGTGAGCCACCACACCGGACCAAAATTCTGTATTTTTAACAAGCTCCCAGGTAGGGCCAGGGCTGCTGGGCTTCGAACTAGGCTTTGGGCAGTAAGGGTTTCAGTGCTTTAATATGTGCAGTATCCAGTGCTGTTCCCTTCGTTCCTAGGCAAGAAGCTTGAGATCTTGTCCAGGCTCTTCCCTGCTCCTGTTTTACAAATGGGAACCTCCAATTCAAAAAGACACTGGGTTGAGAGGTCACGGAGACAACACTATAGCAGGGAGGGGGCTCTTCAAACACTGGAAAACATCCTCAATGATGTTCTCATGTCAGTTCTGAAGTGGGCAGGGCATGGGTCACTGAAGGCCTTCATGAGGGGGACAGTAAGGCCTAAGGCAGAGCTGTGACTTGCTCAGGTCAGACATAAAATCAGGGACAGGCCAAGGCAGAAAGCCAGGTCCCTGCCATCCACTTCTGAAGCATCCTCCTTTCAACATGGCCGTCCATGTTATCATCCAAAGGGCCCCACAGCCTTCTGACAAGGGAAGCATCCCCATGACTGCTCTCTGTGCAGTGGGGAAACCGAGGCGTGCACATACTGGGCAATCAAGTCATGTTCTAGGCCCAGAGACACGGCCTGGCCATGCCTGCCTCTCTACTGCTCCAGAGGAGAGTGTGGTCTGTGAATTTCAAGGCCCAGACTCCAGGCACACCCAGGCCAGGAACGCCAGCATTCCAACTGCAGCATAGCAGAGGCACTGGGCTGGGACTCAGGGACCCAGGCTCCGGTCCTCGATCTATGGGAGGCTTGCTGTGTGGCCTTGGGCAAGACGCTTCTCCTCTTTGGGTTTCAGGCAGCCCCCATTATAATTGTAGTATGGGTTTCATCACATCTGCTGTCCTTCCCAGCTTCAGCTTTCCCCCAGGGTGGAGAAAGGCTGGGAAACTGAGCAAAGAGAGAGAGGGAAGGCCCCAGCTAATGAGGGAGGCCATGAGGAGGTGCTGCGGACTGAACTGTGTGCCCCCAATTCATATGGTGAAGCCCTAACCCCCAGTGTGACTGGATCTGGAGATAGTGACTTGGGGAGGTTAAATGTGGCTAAATGAGGTCACATAGGAGGGGCCTTTATGAGGGAACAGGTGGTTTTGCAGGAAGAAAAGGAGATTGCTCTCTCCCCCACATGAGAATACAGTGAGAGGGTGACCCTCTGCAGCCAGGAGGCAGCCTTCTCCAGAACCCAACTGTGCTGGCAAGCTAACCACAACCTCGGGCCTCCAGAAGGGTGAGAAAATGAACTTCTGTTGTTTAATGAAGCCTATGGCAGTAGGCGTGACATCCACGGCGTTCTGTTAACAGCAGCCCAAGACGACTCACACAGAAGGCCAGGACTCAGATGGAAAGCGAGTGTGAGGGCACGCTGTGAAGACCAGTCAGGAGCAAGGGCTAGCGTGCCAACAACTTCCTCGCTGTGGGCCTCGAGCCGGCCACCTAACCTCTGAGCCTTGGTTTTTTCCCAACTGCAAAATGGAGCTAACGGGGTTGTCATGCAGATTTTAATCAACTAACACATGGAAAGTACTCAGCACAGCGCCTGGCTGGCATTGCTCTCAGGACACAGTCACCATTACCATTGTTAATAATGACACACGGTTAGAGCTTCACTGGCACCCAGTGATGCCTCCTCCTCGTGCGTCTGCCCCATCAGAGGACCCAGACACACTGTCTGAGCTTTTGCCCTTCTCCACGGTAAGGAAGTGTAAAACTGCATGATTCCATCACCTCAGAATTCATTTCCTTCATTTATTTAAGAAACACTTACACTTAAGTGCCCAGCGCTGTTCTAACACACTAATTCCTTTCTTCCTTAGCAGTGACTCTAGGAAGAAAATCTTGGTATTCTCTCCACTTTACAGTCTAGGAACTGTGGCACTGAGAGGTGAGATAATATACCCAAAGTCACATGGATGGTACGAGGTGGGACGGGGACCTGAGGCAGGCAGCCTGGACTGGGAGAGAAAGTCGCAGACGACAGCCTCCTCACCCACAGCCAAGGCCACCCCACATCACCCATCCTTGACCTTCAGCATCCAGAACAGAGTCAAAACAAAGGTGCTCATGGGTGAGCAGGAGAACTGGAGGTTCCCAGGCTTTGCGGGCTGATGCCACCTCTGTGGGAGACAATATCATGACCTAGAGTCCCCCTGACCCCCTAGAGGGGAACATGGCCCCACCTAGCTGCAGAACACCACAGGGCAAAAAAAAAAAAAAAATCTCAAGTTCTGTGAGGCCTAAGATATGACTGGAAATGGCAAGTCCAACGAGTCACAAGGGGACAGCTGTGGCTTTAGAGAGGGAGGTGACTCCTGCTGCTGGCCAACAAGAAAGGAGGATCCCCGGGAGATGGTGAGCTCCCCACATGAGAAGCACTGGAGCAGAAGGGCCAAGTACCAGGTTTGGAAGTTGGATCATCCTAGGGCCAAATCTCAAAACTGCCAGTTGCAGGCTCTTACATAATGACTTGACTCCTCCAAGCCTCAGTCTTTACATCCGTACAATGGGGATAAACATAGTTCCTACCCCACAGTGCTGTGCAGAATAAGGTAATGTCTACATAGGACCTAGAACATTTGCTACTGGTAGAGACATTCTACTGTATCTACCTACTGTCCTTTTTATGGAGGGCCGGGAAGGGGCATGTGCAGAGGATGCAAGCGAAGGATCTTAAGCGACACAGACTTTAGCACATGGCTGTGAAGTTTGGGCTGTGGAGGTGGACCAACAATGGTGTGAATGCCAGCTCTACAACTGTTCTGTAATGGGATGCAGATGGTGAGGGAGTGAGGACTCCTAGTGCTGCAGAGGTCGTCATGCTGATGAAGCTAATAGTGAACGATGTGTATCCGCATTCAAGCTGGGGACTCAAGAAAGCAGCTGACATTCCCGTTTCCTAGCTAAGACCACATGGGTGCTAATGGTCAGAGTCCTGAGACTCACTGGGAAAAGTGATGGGAGGGAGGGAAACAGAAGGGGTCCCCCCGACCAGAACTCCCTTACCCCCGGGCCTTTTTTTTTTTTTTGAGACAGAGTTTTGCTCTTGTTACCCAGGCTGGAGTGCAATGGCACGACCTCGGCTCACCGCAACCTCCGCCTCCTGGATTCAGGCAATTCTCCTGCCTCAGCCTCCTGAGTAGCTGGGATTACAGGCACACGCCACCGTGCCCAGCTAATTTTTTTTTGCATTTTTAGTAGAGACGGGGTTTCGCCATGTTGACCAGGATGATCTCAATCTCTTGACCTCGTGAACCACCCGCCTCGGCCTCCCAATCCCCGGGGCTTTCTTCACAGCCAGTGTTCTGAAGCTCAGCCTGAGGCCTCGAGAGCACTAGACCATGCTATCTGAAAAGATTCAGTGTCCCTTCCTGCTCCCAAGGTCCACATCAGCACCATGGTATCCTGGCAGGGGCAGGGAGGAGCTGCTGGAGTCAGGCAGGCTGGATGGAACTCTCATCTGCCCACCCGCACATCCTGCAGCCTTGGGCAAGAGAATCCCTTCTCTGAGCCTCTGTTTCCTTGTCTGTTAAAGGAGGACCAAGACTCTTGCCAGCTGCGAGGGTGGGCACAGAGGAGATTTCCATGAACGGCAGCTGCCATGATAATGACAACATTGGTTCATCCTTGCCTCTGGGAAGCCTTCCTGGCTTGCCTGAGGTGGAGTCAGACTCCCTCTCTGAATGCCACATCTTCCTCGTACAGGTGAGGTTACTCTGACAGCCATCCTCCCAGTGTCCTAATGAACTCATCTTGGCTCACTTGTGCCCTTCCTGACATTCCAGTCTCGCTTCTAGCTCATTGCCTTGTTTTATTTCCTCTGCAGCCCTGTTATCTGAAAATGCAGTCTGGCTCACCGGATTGCACCCGTCCTAAGAGCAGGTGGGACCCTCGGGAGTATCATGTGCCTCTGATTCCCAGCATCCAGGAGGCCTATAGTAGGTGCTCCATAAATAAGGTATTTGCTGAATGACCAAAAGGATACCTGCCTTCCAGTAAGCAGGCCCTGGGACGGATGCCTCCTAAGACACCCTGGGGCCCACTGGAACAGCAGAATAGGTCCTTGAGATGGGTTTCCAGAATGGATGGTTACC